AACTAAGAAATGTTCTTTTTATATTTTTTCTCAGGATGAAAATTTTTGTACCGCAATAGTACAATTAGGTGAAAAGTTGCACCAGTCTTGATTTCCATTGTTTTTGTTTTTATAATAAAAAGTGATAATAAAAGAAGAATAGATACAGTATACTATATACAGCTCCTCCCCGACTTACGACGGGGTTAGGAACCCAAATCCAGGCTGTAAGTCGAAATGGTCGTAAGTCGAAAATGCTTAACTTATACATAGAAAATCTAAAATGGGTCTCTTTTTCTTCTCAGCACCACAAAACTCTCACTTTTAAGCTTGCCAGCCATTTTAAAGTGAATTATAAACGAAAATTTTCTCTGTACTGACGTTGGGACTCGAAAATACGTAATTTGACAAAATTTTGGTGCGACTGAGGCAGGTCGTAAGTGCGAGTGGTCGTAAGTCAAGTAGGTCGTAAGTCGGGGAGGAGCTGTGCAGTATACTGTACTGCATTGGACTATTGAAACAAGGTTACAGCATTAACCAACAAACAGTATCCCCAAAGCCTTAGTACAGGTAGTGTGTGTTTAAATCAAATACTAATATTCATTTGATGTAAACAGAAGCACTTGTACTAATAAATACCTTGAGATATTGTGTTTTTAAAACACCAGATTGCTTAACCTCTTCTACATCATGAGATATTGTATGTTAATCTCAAAGACGATGTTGAGGGGTGCTAGGTTGTGTCAGGTGACTACTAAACCAGGTCTTGTGACTCAGGGTGTAGAAGAGGATAACCATATCAGAATATATGTTATTGTAGTTAATGTATAGAAAATGAAGGACCAAAAGTGATAGGAGTAGTGTGTTGCTCTTGAATCTGGCTGCTCTGCATTATAGCAGGAAAATGCTTGCAAGAGTGTAAAAAGAAAAACATGCAGCAGAGAGTACCCCTCATATGATAGTCATATTTAGCATGTTCAGAATTGTTTTCCCCATTGAAAATATTGTAGGTTGATTTAGTATTGAAAAACAGTTAATAAATTTTTCTTTTCTTAACAGGATATACAATCTGAGAACAAAAGTATGATTAAGATTACTGTACATTCATACAACTTTGACTTCTAGTAAAATTATGTACTGTACTGTAAACAGTATTAACAGACATGTTCATTTTTGTTGATGTCTGCTCTGTAATTTCAATAGTATAATTTTCTCCCTCCTTGAATATGAAGGTCATTGGTACCCAGGTGTGGACATGAAAGTTTTATTGGTTTATTATTATTATTTTTATAATTAGTATTATGTACTATTATTTTTTACCTTTAGAAGTACGGTACTGTATTGTATTCATATTTTTTATTATTACTATTATAATTTTTCCTGTCTACAGAACCCCTTCAAAAAACTTGATGACTTTATAATGTAATGACCTACACCAGACAACACAAGTAATGCCTTTATTAACCCTGCAGGCTAGAGACCCGGGGATACTAGAGATTAGTGGCAGGGAACTAAGGGAGGAATCCTGGAAAAAAGTAGGCAGGCAATAACCCAAGGTTCACTATCATATCTAATATGAAATGTAAAATTGAAGCAAGTACACTTAACCTGTACACTATAAATGAAAGGAAGGAAACACATCAGATGAATAGTTTATTAGGAAGTGCCTCATAAAATTTAAGAAAAAATTATAAAGTGACAGCATAGGAAGCAAGCAGTATATGGTTGATTTAGAAGATGACCTTTTTTTTTCACTTGCTGAGATACTACAGTACCATGTGCACATATGCATTACAATATAATGGTGCCTTCGACATGCTCTTGGTGTGTTCACATGTGCAGTTCCTTGCAGTGCCCACACTCAGATGTTACAGTATTCAGTCCTCTTTACATTCACATGCTAGGCTGAAGCTTTGGCATTCCTGGACCCCTTGCTCCCAGCACACACATTACTCCTTTAGCCTTAAGCACCAGATCTATGTCTTTTGAGAAGAATTAGACTGACTTCTTTCTTCAATTTGGGTGTAATTAGGGCATTTGCCCATGCCATAATGGTCTTACTTCCTTAAGCAATTAGATGGCAGAGGAAATACTCATGTTCCCTCTGACGTACTTATACTGGATTTAAAGTATTTAAACAGCATTTAGTGTTGCCTCCCATATAATGTCTTAGTACTAGGTGGAAGACATAGCTCAGATCTCTGGGAAGAACCAGAATTTTTCATCGCGTTACAATGTAATCTGTGATATGAGATCATATAGTCAACATACAGTATCTTCTTAACGATTGTGTGTGCAAGTCTTAATTCTTAATGAAGAGAGAGCCCCCCCCCCCAGCTAATACTGAACCCAAGATATAATTTCCTGTCATTCTTTACCAGTTCACACTAAGAAAACTTTTGAGGACGAGGCCTCAACAACTGGTTGAATATACCACCTGGGAAGGTGGACTGAGGTGGTATGTGAAATCAGGTTCCCCTTAAAAAAAGACCCAATTTAGTCAACACCCCTCCATCCATATTTCAGTTATAGTTTCAATTTGGACCACTGGCTGCTGATAGGATATCAGTGCTACATATGCATACTGTCTGGGAAAGAGGACTGGCACCTGAAAATCCAAGTTGACCAACCTGTGACAGCCAATGATGCAGTACAGTATACACATGGTGATATAACATCAAAACTCGTCAGCCTCCTATTTCTAGCTGTGAACTTTTCTTCCACATCTCCCTATTCAAGGGCAGTACTGTAGTTGCAACAGGGAAGGAAACTGATTGTTAGATAATGTGTTACACTATTAAGCAACTGTTTATGTCTACAGTCTCCTTGGTCTCTTGAGTTGCAGGCTTAATGTGTTCATTAAATGTGTTGCTTGTCAGGAGGCTCCATCATAAAATAGGATTTCAAGATTGATGTTCCATTTTCTTAGAAGTTTTCAGAGAAAAGAGCAGGGATTGTTGATTTTATTTTCTATGGGAAGATATGCTAAAAAAAAATATTCAAAGATGGAATTAATTTTCAAAACCCGACACTATAGAATTGCAGTCTCGGGATATCTTATTATTTTTTATGTGTTTGTGTGTGTGATGCACTTACATTCCTTATCATTTTTAACAGTGTATTATGTTCCTTAACCACATGTTGAAACAACAATTTATAAGCCTTATTTTTGTGTGTTAAAATCAGTAGTGTACAGTTCTTCATTACTCTACAGATGTGATGGTTAGTCATAGGATACTTACTAATATTTGGTGTAACTTTGTGAGCTGTTTCGGAAATACTGCAGCAGTAGTGTTTGATGTTCAACACAGTATTAAATACCTGTACTGGACCTGTATATACGTAGTGCAAAGATATTTTATTACTCTGTACATAATGAAACGTGCACTGTATATCAGAAATTTAGTACTGTACTGACTATTATATGATAAAATTAATTAAATAAAAAAAGTAGGTGTACAATGACTCCTTAGGTAGAAAAATGTTGGGCCAAAAGGAACTTGGTTCATCATAAAGGAAATACTGTATTAACAAAAGAAGTGGAAATAGGACTTTTTCATACCTAGTGACCAGAAACTTTGCCTTTCCTGGAGTGATCACACATATGCCATTCTCTAAGTTCATTGTATAGTCACTGAAAGTTTGATAAATATTTATATGGATTAATACAAATTTTTGAAATGGTAAGAAGTTATTAGCTGTCCTCTGTACTCCTGTATATGATATTTTCTTGGCCTAAGTTTGTATTTATTTATTTTTTAACTCGCCTGCACAATGCAATATAGCATTTGTTTTACCTCAAGATTTGTACTCATTATTGGCTTTGTTGGTGCTATTCATATTAACAAATTTTGAACTTTGTTTGCAAGACACATTTCAGTGATGCATCACCCAAATGATTTTATAATTGAACTTTAAAACAATTACTGCATATACTGTACAGTAGGCAAGCTATATTAACATCAGTTACCACTTTACTTAATTGCTAAGTCAACTCTTAATCCTTTCAAAAATGTGTAATAACCACAGTGTAAATAATTATATGTTTGATTTAATTACCAAGCTAGCTGTTAACTTTTTCCAGCAAAGAATAGTTCTTCAACACTAAAATGATGTTTGGATAGTAAGTAACTTTCTGCTTGGCTCGTCCCAACCTGAAATTAAGGAAATGGCACACCCACTTCTTGAGTGACTAAAACTCAGGTCTGGAAATTTTTTGGTTACTCAAGAACCTATGGGAGTATTATTATTATTATTGTTATATTTTTTATAACAACTGTAATTAACCCTTAAATGGTGGGTAAGGATTCCTAATCTGCCCCTTATGTGCAAAAACTGGAATGCAAGAAACATCAAACATCCATTGATGTTAGCTGCCATCCCTACAGCTGACATTGGTTGATGTTTATAGCTGTTTAAGAGTTATGTACAGAATTCAACACTTGACATTTTTGTATGAGAGAATATGTTAACTGTACAGTATGGTGAAAATTCATACATTGAAATACCCAAATTATTGTTTATATATAAAACTTTTGAGAAGGATGCCTCCTGGTCCTTTATATACAGTATTTATTTTAGGGATTTTTTGTTTCTGGTCACTTGGATTGAAAGGGAAAAAAAATTAAAACTACTAAGCCTTCACACTGACACATTTCTTGTAGTGCACAGGGGAACAGATCTTTGATGCTTTCAGTCTTGGAATACTGTAATTGGGAAGTAAAATTCTGCTGATGAATATAAAACAATTGTAACGGGGTTCACCAAGTGATAAACCTACTGAATTTTAACCATTTTGGGGGAAATTTGGCTGCTTTTACACTGACACATTTTAATGAACAGTGTCGGTTAATAATCAGCCAAGAGATTAATAGTATTGTGTGACATTAAGGGGATATATTGTGAGTGTTAGAGGATATATAAGAAAAGCACAAGAAATGGTTGGCACACATAGAGGTATCACGGCACCACACCTGGGTGGGGGGGAAAGCAAGTTTCTACAGGTTGTCTTCTACCAACAGACAGAAGATGCTGCTGAAGCTGCCGAAATTGACAGAAAGATTAAAGAGGTGAGTCTTTATTTTTTGTTTCTTTCTTGTCCAATTCTGTTGTCAGTAAGTTTGGTTTTTAAGGTCCTAGTTAGTTATTTGATTAATAGCTATGTGTGATATATGAGGCATCGCCTAAAGCAGGGGCGTCAACGCCAAGTGTGTGAATTTGAGTTAAGGGTTTTTCTGTTTTCAATACTCTGTTGGTTGATATACATATTACACCCATAGCTTACTAGAATCCTGTGAGAGATAGGCTTGAAAAATAATTTCCCGAGATCCTCACGGGGCAGCAAATCCCCCCCAAATTACTGAAATCTCAGAATGTCAGATTGGCATATAGTCCCCTGCTTTAGGTGATGCCTCATGTCTTAACCCGAGTGACCAAAGCATTTGCAAAAATAAGCCAGATTGATTAGTTTAATTAGATGTTAAAACTTTTTTTTTAATATTGTGTGAGTGTGGTTGTTTATCTTTCACTAAATGTAGTATAATAACAGAGTTGCATTTTAAAGTTCACGATATCACTACAATGTGAAATTAAAGCAGTTCCATACTTGAGGTTAGATCATTTTTTCAAAGGACTGGGATCCTGTGTTTAGTGTAATCCCCACACAGTAGTTGATACTGTGTACAGGGATAGTGTGCTATATACTGTACTCAAGTTATAGGACCACATAAAACTGACTTGAACTGACCACATTAAGGTTATACTGTACTGTACAGGTATAACCTATTAACCAGTTAGGTCGTCATGAGGTTCATGTCAAATATACTGAGAGAGATCTTCCAGAATAATTGAGATGTTTTGATATAAGTAAATAGAGAACTGGTGAGATGATGCAAGGTTTGCTTTATGAATATGTTAAAGTAGTACAATATCTAATAAGTTATTTCAGTGATCTGGATCAAACAGTTTACCATTATTGTACCCAAACTTTCTGTTCTGTTATGATATTGTCCTCTCGCTTTATATAATAGTTCTACTTTGCAACTTCTTATATCTTTAAGGAAAGTTTCCTTGATAAGTCCATGATTTTAGAGGAAACACAACATTTTCCAATATAAGTGGCCATAAGGACTTAATTTTATACTTGGCAGTTCACCTGAAAACAGATCTTTTATTGACTTATCAGGTAAACTCCATTATCCTTTGGTGTCCGTAGGAACTGTCACAATATGTAGAAATTGATTAGTTATTGGAAGCTGAATAAGTTATATCATCAAATGCTTGGCATTTGACACACCGATTGTTAATGTTGAGAATACCTGTACAGTACAGGTAGTATATACAATTGTAAAAATGATTTGTACAAAAGATCATCTGGAAAGAGTTCTTCTAAACAGTAGCTCTTCCTAAATAATGGTACAGTTGTGGACAAAGGTAATCATCCACTCCACCACCTAGAATAATGGATTTGAGTCAGAAAGAGGGATTCTAACACTGTTGCAGAATCATTAGAGTTAGAAGTACACATTTGTCCTCTAATATCTTTAAAAATTAGATCAGTGAAATCACAACTTACTTCAATCATAGTGGGAGAGTTCTTTACCAAATGCTTAATTGTTGTTCCTCAATCTCCAACACTAAATATGCAAGATTATCAATTGTCTACAGTGCACTTGAGAAAATATTGCTTGCCACTCTCAGCTCTAATGATGAAAAGTGTCGTGCTAGATACTGATGACACTTCAAGTTGCAGAATACTATAGTACAGGTACTTGTAAGATACTTCTCAAACCTAAGCTAGTGTAGTTGTCTTAATTTCATAATATTTCCTTAGGTGACGGACCTGACCCGGATGGATGGCAGTGAAAATGACAAGATTAACGCTATGGTCGCACAATCTACAATGGCTTATCACCCATCAAAGTAAGTACAGTACATGATAAGATCTGCAATATAAGAAACATATTGTAATGACAGGTATAAATATGAGAATCAGAATTCTCTGAGGGATCATTTGTGACTGATCCTCACAAGACACTATCATAATTATGAAGTGGCCAAAGTGTAGTGGGGTTTAGATAATGGGAAAAAGAACTCCTGCCCCCTAAGTTTTTTTTTTTACGGGAATTAGCCAACCCGGGCACAGGTCAAACGACCCACAACGGAGCCTGGGGGGCGAAAAAAAAGAAAGGAAAGAAATTGAAAATATAGAAAAAAGGTTATACTGTATTAATCTACAACACGAAGATGCCGGAAAACCAGCTTTTTAAAGTGAGACAGATTGTAAGAGCATGGAAACACAGAGGAAGGCAAAGCATTCCACAGTTTGGCTGTGTGAGGAAAGAAGGAGGTACTATAATGGGTTATTCTCGTGTGACCGATATCCACAGAGAAATGGTGGGCACCGCGGGCAAGACGTGTGTTACGAACCCACGGCCTTACCGGCGGTACACAGGATGCCAAATCCCCTGAACATTGCCCGTTAAAGTACCTGTAAAAGAGAGAGAGTGAAGCAACATTGCGGCGAAGAGAAAGGGGAGAGATTGTCGACTAAAGGAGGAGAGTTAATAAGACGAAATGCCTTTGATTCCACCCTATCTAATAGTTGGACAGAAGAAGAGCCACCCCAGATATGAGAGCAGTACTCCAAGTTAGGACGAATGAATCCCTTATATACTTGGAGCACTTGCTCAGGAGTGAAGTAGCTGCGGCATCTGTACAGCATTCCCAACTTTCGGGAGGCAGCTTTAGTTATACTAAGGATGTGTGCTTTCCAGGACATATTGGAGGAAATGGTGAGGCCTAACATATTTATTTCAGAATTTGGGGGGATGATAGCGTCCTGAAATGGAATTGGTTGTGATTGAGTCATTCTATCAGTATTCATTTGATTCTGTTTAACAATATACTGTACCAATACTGTATATATAGTACAGTATACTTAAAGTCATTTCAAGGATTACTTTTTTCATGGTCAGTTGTGATATTCAGATTTGCCACAACAGATTTTTGAGTCCATATACCTGTACACACCAGTGATAATATATTCTTTATACCTATACATATACTGTAGTAAAAACATTATTATGGCTTCTTTAAACTCCTGGGATGATTGTTTTAAAATGTATGGATGAGACTGATTGAGAGGGTCCCAGCAAAACCTCAACACATGTTCAACTAATACTTGAACTCTTTTCCACAGATATGTAAAACTTCGAATCAGCAGAATGATGGGGTCTGTCCCTTTGGATTATAAGTGCTACAAGTGCCATCAGAGTGGCCACTGGGTTAGCATGTGTCCACTTAATAATGTAAGTACTGAAGTAAGTTTTCTCTAGCTTGAAATATATGCATATTGAAGGTTATATAGCTGTTTGGAGAATGATATTTTTATATACCTGTATATATATATTTTTTTTTTTAATTCAGAAAGACAAAATCGTATTTGGATCACTTGTTTTACAAAGCTTATGATTCAATTTTCTCTCTCTCTGATGCAGCAAGACTTACGTAAGAGCACTGGCATCCCATCCAAGTTCTTGGTGGAGGTGAATGACCCGAGTGTTCCTGGTGTTATGATCAATGCATCAGGAAAATTTGTTCGTCTGCTTGATATGTAAGTACAGTACAGTAATTGCTTCCTCTGTAATGTTTTTGACTTGAACAAATAAAATTTTAGTAAGATAAAAAAAAAGTTAGCATTTTCACCTTGTTATCCAGCTCTGTGTTATTAGGGAGATAAAATCAGGGCCTGTTACTGTTCATGTGAAGGTAAAAATAATGATAATGAAAATAAATGATAAAGGAAATAAATTTAGCTTTTCGGTTTTTCATTGAAGAAAAATCACAACATAAGAAAATGAAAAGAATAACAAAAGCTTTGTAATGGTATCCATAGGCAGGTATAAGACCCCTGTGTATCAATGGATTTGAGAGCCATAAATCTCCTTTCAATGTAGTGCATAATTCTTGGTCTAGTATATTCATAAAATACAGTACAGTAATAATACAGAATGGCCGGAAAAAAACGGTACTGGCCATTGATACTGACTTGAACATTCCGGCCAGAACTTGAAATTTGGGTTCCGGTACATCCTAGGTATCATAGAAATAATAAGGCTTAAATCTGGTGGGGTCACTGTTTACAGTACAGTGTATACAAATAAATAGTGTACAGTTTATGCCAATAATGGTACTTGGCATAAATCTTGAAAAGTTTGTTGAATACAAATAAATGATTATTATTGTGCCCTCGATGATATAATATTGCCTGTGAAAGTGTTTATGCAGTAGCATATTTCCCTCAGATTTCATCTTACCTTTTTTCTTTTCTTTTTATTATTATTATTATTATTATTATTATTATAAGGGATTAGCCCACCCGGGCACAGGTCATTGACCCACATCAGGGCCTGGGGGGGGCTAAAATGTAATAATAATAATAATAAAGAACCATAAAGAAATACAAAAATGAAAAAAGATCAAAAGTGAGATACAATATATGTATGTTGTGTTGTCAATAGTAAGTGAAACAATTGAGACCCTGCAATTATGTGTAAATGAGGCAGAAAGTCAGATTAGCAACTTGAGACTTGGTCACAATTTTCATGATGCCATGTGGCAGCAGAGTCTACCATAGACAACACATTATGCTTCCAATATCTTCCCAGGCGGTAGTACCTCCCTGTTTGGTAGCTGCCTAATACCTACTGTCCTCTTTTACCTTGAATTGTTCATGTGACACCACTCTGACTACAGTATATGGTACATAATTACAGGTATACAGTACAAGAGAGAGAAGTATTGGGATACTTAATCATCAAGACATACAGTGTATTGGATTGTAGAATATTATAATTTCCTTGCAACAGGGGTAAACCGGATAAAGAAAGAGGTGCTCCACCTCCTGGGCGACCGCCACCTCCGGAAGAAATTGTGTGTTCTATTTGCAAGGAGCTGTTAAGGGATGCTGTTCTCATCCCATGCTGTGCTACTGCTTTTTGTGATGACTGTAAGTACAGTAGTGTATATGATTTTGCCCTGTACTGTGGTAGGGTAAAACTCGTAAGGTTAACTTAGTTATGTATTTTTTATTATTTAATTAGAGCTTAGATTATATAGAGGACTGCATGATATTTATGAGAAGCAAAAAATTTTAAATAGCTTTATATTTCATCAAGTTAAATATGGGATGTAGTAGAAAGCTTAATGTGAAAATTGTACTGTACTGGATATCTAACAGTCACCAATTTCTAGCAGTGTGGAAAGAAGAATGTATGAAAAGATTTTGGGTTGTCTGCTTAAGGTTACAAAGGTAGGAAAGAAACGAGAATAAAAGAGAGAACAAGAGATGGTAGAGAATGTGAATTTATCATTCATTTATTGCACATTGTGAAATTTGAGAAAGATTAGCTGACCATCAGTAGTGCTACACTGTAAGTGTACCTAGAACCTGATTCATCGGTGGGAGAGAAGGTTCTCCTCTACCTTATATAGTAATATTCTGGGCTAGAAAGTGTATGCACCCTTGGACTTGGTTCAAATTGTAAAATGCTGTGAAAGTGACAAATGTACGTGAAATGATGAAAAGTGATGGAAGCAGGAAATTTAAAAGGTGATGTGAGTCATATGTTGAGCTTGGTAAAACAATGAGTTGTACTGTATGTCAAAAAATATTATGAGTTATAGAGATGGCTGTATGGAATGACTGATGATGTTGGATGTAGAATATTGTATTTGTGTACAGGAGAAGAAGAGATAATGAATAAATATATTAACTTGTCAAGATTATGGTTGTTATTAGGAGATTGTGTGCTATGCATTCTTGTTATTATGGAAATTACATAAGCAAGTTTAGATTAGCATTGTAGGTCATTAAGAAAATATCCAGTCCTCATGTTACATGTTCATTCTCTCATCTAGGTATTCGCAATCATCTTTTGGATTCTGAAGAAACAAGGTGCCCTTCCTGCGATAAGGAGGGAATCAGTCCAGACACACTTATCCCAAATCGTTACCTCCGCATCAAAGCTACTCAGTTTGAAAATGGATGGTATGTATGAAGTTCATAAAAGAATTTCTTTGTTTTCATGTGTCAATTTTTACTTTCATAATATTATTTAAACTTTTTGGTTACCAGCTCATATTCGAGTTAAAAAGACATTCTAGAAACAGTTGCTGAAAATTTCCACGTCTTGATTGTTGTTTTATGCCCTGGCTACCATTGGCAAGGGGCATAAACCTTTGCCTTTCTTTGTGCCTCTGGTTTAAGTTTTCTATCTAGGTAGGGACATAATCAACATTTTCTAGTCTGTTCTTATTCTTTCAAGCCATTGCCTGCCATATTGCTGGATAGGTGAAGGAAATGTATGTTTAACTCCCTCCTCAAAAATTATTACAGTAGCATTTACCTTCATTTTCCTTCTATAACACCCTGTTTAGGTTATTCACCAAATTTGGCATTTGTTTTTCACTCTGCAAAAATCAGGAATTCATTTGTGTTAAGAGACATATTACCAATAGCCACAACCCACCCTCCAACTCCAGTATCTTCTTTGCCTCAGTCACCCTTGTTTTTATTTCCCTGGCCACTCTTGTTCATAAATATATTAACAAATGCAGGGGACATCACACATCCCTGCCTCTTTTCTTCTATCCATAATCCTCCTCCTATTTTCATACATGCCTTATTGCTCTGGTAGAATTCCTTCATCACTTCTGACAGTGTCTTTTTATTCACCAAGTCATATGCCTTCTCCAGATCCATAAATAGTGCATATGGTTTTCTCTAGTATTTGCGTGTCATTATTCTATTCATTTTCTTTTACAGCCTTATCTAACTTCTCCAATGTTGTTATATCACTTTCTCCCTTTGACTTTTCCCACTTTACTCCCATTTTAGGGAGGTGTCAGGGTCTTGTAAGCCCATCTTCTCAGTTTATGTTTTGTAAATATCCGGGAGTGGTCTGATCATGTCATCATTGTTATTATTTTTATATCAGCCTCATTCTTTTTAATTCCCTTAGCTAGTATTTTATAATCAATCAAGGACTGTTTATATCCTACCTCATCTTACAAAACTGTACACTTTTATATGGAATTACCTGTATGCTCAAGTAATTGTTTGAGAGGAATCTCAGTCAAGGTATGTATTGCTAAAAGTAACGAATAATTTTTTTGGGGGGTGGAAGGGGGGGGACATTTTTTATTTCATGGCAATTTTTAGTAGCACAGGTACTGTTTTCTAACATATATGGAGTTTGAATGGCAAGAATAGTTGACTCACAAAAGCTTCCAAATTTTTCAAAAATGAGAAAATTGGGGGACTGTTTTCTTGATAGATCATTTCCTATCTATACATTGTGCATTGGAACTTTTAAATAAACTTGGGTGTTTATCACGGATAGTTATGTTCATAAACTTATATACATAATATTTAAGTCATTTTCTTTTTATTTTACTTTCAGGGATATTATTGATAAAAAACTAGAAAAAGGTGCAACAGAACCCTTGTCTTCCATCCCTCCCTATATGGTGAACACGAGCAACACACCCACACCTCCTCGGAGCCCTGCTAGATCCTCCAGCCCAGTTAATGTTAAAACATTAGATCAGACATCTAACATAGCACCTATCCATCCAGTCAGCCCGTCCAGGCCCAACAGTGCTGAGGAGCCTATAGAAAATGGAGGAGACTCTGACAAAGAAAATATTGTAGAAAAGGAAGAAATTATGGCTCCTGAAGTACTGAGTGAATCTATAGAGGAAGGTGACCCTCCAATTGAAGGGAAGGAGATCCAAGACGAAGAGCACCATCAAGAAGGAGAAGACCATAGTCCGATGCAAACTGTTGTTGAACCTGTAATAGAAGTAGAAGGAAAACACAAGAAGAGCAAAAAGAAGAAAAGCAAACGTAAGGCCAGCAGACATGAATCTGAGGAAGAGAAAGAAGGAAAGGAAGGTAGAAAAAGAAAGGAGAGGAGGCACTCACACAGAAGTCAAGAAGCAAAATCAGCTGATACAGAAAAAGGAATGATCCATGATGTACACAATGAGGCAGTGTTAAGTGTCGAATGTAAAGGAGATGGAATGGAAGAATCATGGGTTGGCAGTAGACTAAACTCAGAGAGTGTAAAGAGTAGGAGCAAAAGTAGAAGCAGAAGCAGAAGCAAGAGTATTGAGAAAGAAAGTAAAGAGCTTAGTGGAAACCGCTTTGATAATATTGTACCTTTTGACCCCACTGTACCACCGCCTGGTGCCTTTGTCCAGTCACCACCTAAGGAAACTCCCTTCTATCCTGTACCTTCCACATTTGCTACTGCAGGTGAGTGTACTATATGTACCCTGGATTATACATTGCAATATTTTTTATATTTCCAACTTCAAAATTCTTTATCTTGAACAAAAAAAAAGTAAAATTGAGTGATAGTGTAAAGTCCCTTTGCGTTTTAGAGGTACTGTAATTTTTGTATATATATTTATTTTTTGTTTTCCACTTGCAAATCTTTTCTGCAATACTACAGATGGCTGAAACCAAGAGCAAAAGTTAATTCATTCTTATTGTTATAATGTCTCCATAATCCACTTGATGCCATAATATATACATACAGTATTTTATTGTTCTTTATATTTAGATGAATTACGTTTTTGTTTTTCAGGTCCACCCAACCGTGCACCTCCTGTAGCAGTTCCTACAACACGGTATCCTGCCTTTACTCCTGGGTTAGTTTTATCATTGAATTTGTTTTTGTCACAGAGTTGCACAGAACACATTTTTTTTTTCTCACTCCCACCTTGTGAAGTAGTAATTTACACACTGTTGTTCTTGATTTTCTCGATGATGGAATTAAGATCGATATTTAAATGCATTCATATGGAAGGAGTATTTAACAGCTGTGTCAGTTCTGAGTGCAACCCTGATATGTGTTAAGCTTGGGTGACTCATGTACAGTCGACAACTCCATTGGTTGAAAACCCAAGGTTCCCATGACTTAGGCTTATGACTGGAACTATTTGAAAAATTAGTCTATGCTTAGATGTTAACTGGGTTTTCATTGCTTTGTAAGAACGTTTCCAGTTACTAAACAACTCAATTAAACTTCTCAGTTTAATTAAAGAAGTATTGGTAATTTTTTTTTCTAATCATAAGGAGTAATGGTCACAGCAAGACAGGATGTTTTCGAATATACATTGTCAATTAGGACTGGCATGAAGTCCCAAGACTGGGTTCTTATATTCAGTCCTGTAACAGGGCTACAGGCTTTGGTGTTTGAGGGTCCCAATAAACAGTTTGTTTTGGCAGGTTGGAAATTCATGCCAAGTTTGGGAGCAAAAGGTTAGCTCTCACCATTAACTATGTCAAGGCAGCTGAGACTTGTCTGAGAGTAACTGATCATTTCAGTAAACAAGCTTTAAAAATTATCACTCAAAAAAGTGAGCTTGCATGGGACATATAAACTAGGTGGAGTTGTCTTCTTTGGCATTCTTTATAGGAATATTTATGAAATCTCTTTGGGGAAGAGCCAGAGCATTGACAAAGGTGTTTGCCAGTCACTACTTTGATTAGACAATTACAGTTTTGGACATTTGTGACTTAATTCCAACTGTGGAATGAATAACTGCACAATCACTTGGAGGATCTTTTAATTGTTTCCTACCACCCTTTTTAAGTAGTTTAAAATACATAGATTGCTGAAGCCAAGCACAAAGTTAAAGTGAGGGATTCATCTTGAGATCCCTGTAGAAAACTCGGCCTAGATTGGATGACTCGGGTTCCTTTCCTCCTCTGTTGGGCTGCTGTAACAAACTAAAATTTTGGGGGTTGATCGTGAAGTGGCACCTTTTAGCCGAGTAGTGATGGCAGATAAGTATGCTGGTGCTTGGGAAAAGGTGAAAATCAATGCTTTCAGTCTTTAGTAATAACTGTTGTATACATAAGGTCGCTTTATAGAGACTAAGTAATGACAGGAAAATGTAAAATATTACTTAGATTTAGTTCCAGTCATATAGAGTATGCAGGTCCTGGGACCAAGTTTTTATCCCATGTAAAGCTAAATTGTAGTTTTACTTTCTCTATATGGTACATATCTAATTTTTAAGATTTAAAGGTTATTAGTGTGCAGCACACTTAGAAATTCAGTGTTAGTGTTTTGGCTACTTGTTATGGTTGGAGATACTGTAATGCAGTGAAGATTTTGTCCTTCATTTTCTTATCAAATTGAAGTTCAGTAAAGCACTGGGGGTCCTCATTATATGTCAGGGATGTGTTCCAGAGAAATGTGACTTATAGTGAAATGTTTTATAATAAGGAATTTTTTCCCTTAAAAATTAATGTAATTAGGGGTAGATGCATTCCACCATGTACAGTAATACTTCATGAGAGCCTAGGATGTGTTCCTAGAGAGAGAGGTTTTAGCAAATCATCTTAAAATGGGGTTATTATAACATACTGTACTGTATAGCAGTGATATGGAGATGCATTCCTAACAACATTATTTGTTGCGTTTAGGTGATAATATGATAGCTCGATTTGGTTACTTGTGTAATAAGACTACCGATTAATAAGCAAACTAGGGTATATGCAGGTGCATAATACACTACAATATTATATAATAAGTGCTGAAGAGAGATGTTGTGGGAAGCATGGTGAGGGGCAGTGTGATTGATCAGCTGTTTGCACTGTGTAAACAAAGCCACCAGAATTTAATATGCAATAACTCATCTAGAGTTGAGTCACTTGAGTGTGGGATTTTTGTTTCGTTTTTGTCAGGAAAATTTATTACTTAATGATAATATTTTATTAACCCAGCACCAAATGAACTTAAATAGTATAGGAATTATGATGAAATTGCATAAAGACTTGTCAAAGGGATCGCAGGCTGACAAGTGCAGGAGGGCGAGTTGTCCTCAACCTCACTACAGACAGCACAACCTCCCTGTTCCACCTCCTATCCACAGCTTCGCACCTTTGTAATTTTTTTTCACTCCAATTCTTTACACACAAACCTTCCATTGTATAAGAACTGGATAAGGTTTTCTAAACTTTCAGATTTTGGTGTTAAAACACTTGTCACTTAAATGTCCTTGCTGAGGAATACAGTAGTCCGGTGAATCACAGTGTGTTTCCAAACCACATGCTACTCTCAAATACGCTCCATTTTCCACTCAGAATGTACACTTTTCTGCAAATTCTGTTGTTACTTTCATATAACAATGACACAGCTCACAGACGTGTGAGAGGTGACGGATGTATTTTGGTGTTGTAGAAACTTAAAACTTTTAGGGAACTTTTATTACTGATTATAGTAGTTTTTCATTATACTAGTTGTTTTTAACACTTTATGTGTCATATTCGGATATGCACAGACTTAATATAAAATGGGGCATGGCGTAGACAACATACATGTGAAACACGCACTGTTTAATGAAAATTCTTCCTGTATTGTATTTCTAAGCGACGTATATCGAGGACCCCTATAATTGAGCTGTAATTATGGCAATACATGTACTATATGTCATTTGTATTTAGCTAAAGAAAATAGATAAGCAGGAGCAAGGTGCATTGACTTTATTTTCATTTTGTGAGTAGTGGGCCATTCCCAACAAGTATAGGGACCTCACTTCCCACTACCACTGTGGTGTCATCAAGTCATGCTGGAGTTGTACAGGAGCAGCACATACCAGCAGGGCCCCTTCATGTGGGTTCACCTGACCTCTCGTGAGTTGTGCCTCGCTGTTTCTGTGCACAACTTTCAACTTTTTTAGTGTTTCTGTGTTGGCTTATTTTCTTTTTGGGTGTTTGCTAACCTTCCAGCATGATAAGTAATTGCTTCATGAAATTCAAACCCTAAAGATACTGTATCTCCCATCTGTAATTGGTTACCCTCGTCTCTGCACCTTGGTCATCTTTATTATGTTCTTTTATGTGTAACTTTGCATTAGAAATTTTCAACTAAATTGTCATATTTCCAGTACAGTAATTCAGTATTCCAAATTTTTAGTCTTCTCCACAAAAACTTTTTAAAGAGGTTATATTTAATTAATTAGTTTTTTTATTTATATGTATGTTTTGTTTGTGTTTCCCACCTTTCAGAGCAGAGAATATTACCCTAGAATTCAGGTTACCAACAAACTCCACATCTTCAGCAAGGGGCAAAATAATTTTGAAAGACTGACTAGCAGAAGCTGTTATATATTGAGGAATGAATCACAAACACTACTATGTAATAATATATATATGCTTTACCTAAGGGAAGTCTTTTTCATAAATTGTGATGTAAAACTGGTTATTTTGCCTGTAGCCTTCGAGTTAAAATCCATCCCAACAATATGATTTAACACAGTGCATATGCCAGAGGCTTTCTGTTTTGGCTTTTTAGATATTAAAGCAGTTGCCACTTAATTGTATTAAAAAGAGTTGAGGTGAATGAATCCTACCAAAGCAAAAGGAAAAACCCAAACTGAGATATTTGAATACTGCATTATATAATAATCGCTGAAGAAACTGATAATGTGTGATAAACCCCCAAAAAAGTGGCTGCCATTCATTTGCAATTTAAGGAAAGAAATGTATATGTGACAAATGCAGTCTTTTGCTGCTCTTTTTTGGGGGGGTTATATTATCTCCTAGGTGGTCATATCATCAAGTCTTCCTCAAATTATTAGTCACCTCCTAGTATTAGAAGACTCAAATAAAAACCTGATCAATATGTTGAAAAATTTCATGTAATGATTTGTCTGTCACGGAGAGTCAGCAGAATTTGGAAAGAGGAAGAAGAGCATTGTTTAAGGAAACATGGTAGAAAAAGAATGAGAAAATAAGTCATAATAGGTCAGTGAAGGTTGAGAAAATGCAGTAGACTACTGGGTGTTTGGGAAAAGTAAATGTGTCCAAAGAAGATGACCATGAGTGGGAGCATTGGCTTCCCTTTCTTTCATCCATAAGTAAATGGTATATTTACATTATTGAACCATTTTCTTTTCTTGAGAATGGTTTAATGTTCTTACTTTTATTAGAATAATTCTGTGTCATATAGAAATACCATTTATACATTTCAAAGGATAATTTTGAATTGTTCTTTTCAACCCCCCCCTTTCCCAATTACTCTAGAGTGGCCAGAAACTAACAAATACTCTCACTCAGTTTCTCTTTTCCAATGTTATTAGCTCAGTCTTCCTGCTGCAATGATGTGTCCTGCTACATTCCTCCCATTTTACAGCATGGCACCAAGTTTGGTTTGCCTTAGCCATTTCACAGAAATCCTTCTCAAGATCACTTACATACTGTGCTTCCTTGCTTTTGCTTATTCATGCACACCTGCTTCCAGAATACTTATCTCCCTTCACTTCCAATACATCCTCTACTCATTATTCCATCTTCTAAGTCTTCCCCCTCACATTCTTTCCATTTACCTCTAACTTTTACTGTACACATCCCATTCTCTCCATTTGTTTAAATCACCTGAGTAGTAGCCCTGCTCTACCCTGGTCTACTCACTTCCCTACACATCTTTGATTCCAACATGTCCGTAGTCTTTCTTATTCTCAACTTCCTATTTATCACACTTATTGTTCTCAAACACATAATTCCTTTTGCTTCTAATTTGCTTCTTCCACTTGCATCCTGAATCCTTGCCTCACACATGAATAATAATGTTAGCTCAGTAAATTCCCTTTTAATGTAGTGCATTTGTCATGTATTTGTCAACTTTAGAGAAATACTTATCCAGTGGTCTCTCCATTAACGAGCACAATTGGTTCCACAGAGTCACTCGTTAACTGAATCTATTATTTCAGTGGGACATTGGGTAATTGGTTCCAACTCACAGAATTCCCTTAAAATTAATTAAAAAGTACATACAAAGTACTGTACTGTATGTTGGTAATTGAATTAACTATATGTATTTAGGATGGTGTGTGCATGTAAATGAGTAAAAATAAATGAAGAAAGTTACGTACAGTATATCTATCCAAAAATACGAGTTGAAAAATGTACTACACCAAAGGACTAAAATTTTTATCTCTTGTGCAAAATATGATGTCTATATTCAAATTATTTGCTGTATTCCAAGGATTCCAGCAATGCAGGTTATATTCTGCTAAGTTTAGTCTGACATTTTATACGATAAAAACTTTAAGCCTAAAACTACCTTCATCCTGTTTTGGGAGTACTTCTTAGCTGAGAACCCCCAAATTTTTTGTCAATCTTCCAAAATCCGGGTCCAGATTTTTTCTTTAAACCAACGTTGCACTGTATATTATCAATATGTTAACTAAATATCAGAATTACCAATAATTTTAATGTAAAAATGAAAAAAATATTCAAGAGCACAACTTTCTTGGTATTTACTAGAAGCAAAGGTAAAAATTGAACCGTTTATTGGCGGACAAGTCGATCAGCTGAAGCACACCAAAAAGTGTTTCTCGTAAGGCTGCCGTTAATAGAATTTGTACTCGTTAATAGAACTGAAAGTCCTTACGGGAGGTAACTCGTTAACTGAAATCTCGTAAATTGAACCGCTCGTTAATGGAGGGTCCACTGTATACAGTACTATGTATTGAAGTAGAGAGGTACTTATATATATTTTGTTCCATTTTTTATATTGTACTACATTGTATGTAATTCATTTTAATTAATTAATTTTCCAACAGAGTACCCCCTCCAACATTTGGAAACCCTGCACCTGGCTACTCAGGTCATCCTCTGCCTTATAAGGAATTTGAGTAAGTTTTATTACCCAAGTTATTTTAGGAAAATGAAGCTGTTCATAACTTTGCTTAAGCTGTTTAGCTGCATTAAGAACTCTTTCAAAGTTATTAGTATATTTTGGTGTACATTGGTTTTGTAAGAAAATTATATACTGTACTGGTATACCTGTTGCATTTAATAGCTACATCAAAATTTTGACTGAGTCTTTGTCTCCATGGATTGGCTAAAGTAAAATAGCATTACTTCAGGAATTAAATAGTCTAAAATACTGTCAGTAAGACTAATACATTTGCTGTGCAATTTGTTACAGACCAATTGATGATCCACTCACCCTCTTCAACAAACATCTACGGGAAAAAGATGAAAGGGCACGAAGGTATCGCAAAAGCAGATCCAGGTCCCCACGTTCCAGGTGAGGAAATTTACTGCTAAAGAATGTCTCCCTCCTGTAATCCTCTCTATCCACATGAATATGTGATCTCCACCATCTCCCTTATTTATCATCATGATGTTTTTGCTGTAATGTCTTCATACAAACTTTTCATTCACATTTGTTCTGATTATCTAATATCCATCCACAGTCAAAACTGTACCCATTAGAAGTACTGTATTTCAGAGACAGTATCACTCAATTGTACTTGCACCAAGTAAAATTTGTTAAAATGCTGTGATTCTTTTCGTCAGGTCTCCTCCACACCGTTACCATTCTAGATTAAGGTCACGGTCACCCCGCCGATCCTGGTCACGTTCCCGCTCCCGCTCAAGATCACGGAGCAGAGTAATTGGCTCAGGAGCAAGGTCGCCTCGCTCTCCAATAAGGCACAAGTGGAGCCGCACACCACCCAGAGGCCTTGGATCGTACCGATCACAACGCTCACCTTCATTTTCCAGAGAACGCTCAATTTCAAATCATTCATTATCTTTAAGCAGGTAAATTAAATATATATATATATATATATATATATATATATATATATATATATATATATATATATATATATATATATATATATATATATATATATATATATATATATATATATATATATATATATACACATATATATACTGTATATATTTTCTAGACAATTTTGGGTTGACAAAAATGAAAATAACTTCATAATTTTTCCTTTTATCTTTTTGTAAATTAGTTTTTACTGGCTTACCTAATTGGTGATTCTATCACACACGCGCGCACACAAAGTTAATATGCTTCTATTTGAAAAGCGAAACCAGACTGAATTTTGAGAACAGAAGTTAATTCTGAGTTTGTTTTTCTATTTTTAAGAACACCGAGCCCAAACCGAAGGACAAAGTCATCTCCACTGCTTGTGCGACCTGTGCTGCCACTTTCAGACACACGGTCACCATTAAGGTTAGTGGTATCATATGATTTTATATAATGGTTGTTATCATGGAAGGGTAAATTTGGGGAATAATATGTAGTCCTCCCCCAAGATAAATCCCAGTGCTTTCCTCTTGATGTGAATAATTATAATGATGCTTGCAGGCTTCCACAAATTTCATTTTGCAAGTACAGTACAAGTACGGTATATTTTACAACAGCCTTCAGTCATTCCATTAGTTTTCAAAGTTTTTTAAAAATTGTACATGTAGAATTTTCAGTTAAAATACAGGCATGACAGTCGTGTTTACTGTTCTTTCTTTATCATAATACAATTAACAATTTTATTCTCTGTCTGATGTTTTTTCACAAATTTCAGGACACCAGTAGATTATGGAATCCCGAGAGAGTATGATCGGTACATGAATCCTGAAGAATACCAGTCCCCTTTCATAATGGCTGGTAATCCATGGGACCCTCATGGAAGGTAACTGCAGGTGTTATTGTTTAAAAGATAGATGTGAATGTATAGGATGCTTGTGGATGCTTCTGCATGTAGTAATACTGTACAGTTAACATACGAGTAGGGGAAAGTCAAGAAATTAGTCTCCTTTTAAATTTCTGAAGATGCATTTCATGTTACACTGCTTTTACTGATGCATAATGCAACCACAGTGTCTTACAGTATGGCATTAAGTTTCAATGTACAGCCAATCCAAAAAATAGTATAGAGACCCCCAGGGTATAGTGAAATAGAAAATGAGTGATAACCTCAGATGTGTTCGAGTATCAGTTGGGTTGGTTTTTGCCCGAAATTTCATATTCTTTCTTATACCTGGGGTCTCAGTACTTTTTGGATTGAGTTTACAGTGTGCAAGGTTGATGCATGGAATACTTGTTCCATTTTTATGGATATAAATGTCTGGTGTTCGAGGGTAGCAAGAAATTAAACCTGAGAACAGTAGAATTATTATGGAAGTACACAGGTTTTATGGGTCATGGATAAAGATGTAAGAAGACTGTGTGGCATTGAAAAGTTCTTGGAGAGCCAATTAAATTAGAGTGTATGTAGGCGGTATGGGCATGGTTGTGAGTATAGAGAGAGAGACTGAAAAGGGGTTTACAGGCTCTGTCAGTGATTTAATGAGAAATTGAGAATAAAGAAGTGTGTTGAGGGTTCTACATGTTCAGTAATATAAAGGGCAGTGCTAGGATGAGTGGAGCTACAGAGATAAATCAAATAGATGTCGTTGGGCTTTATTGTTGAAATGGAACATTTATAAAACAAATCACTTATAGCATTGAGATTAAATGAACAACAGTTTAAAAAGACTGAGAGAAATTATGCTTCTGGTTTGGGCCACTTTACAGTATTGTGGGAAAGAGCTTGTAAGAGTAAAGAAACAATTTAAATGGATCATTTTATAGTGAATGGAACTAATGTATTGAATACTGGTTGGGTGCCAATATAGTAGGGCAGAATATTGCACTTAAGCCAATTAGTTGTCACTTTGTCATGTTTTCAGTTATCTTAGATAATTATTAATGTTTTATCCCTTGTATTTCCAGGTATGATCTTCAAGGACATGGACATGAGAACTTCAGAGGAGACTTTCAAGATTCAAGGGGTCGTGGCAATAGAGGTCGTCGTGGTAGAGATCGAGGAGGTTTTCGGCAAGGTGAAGACTTCCGTTTTGAGCAGCATACTCAAGAGCCCAGACATCCCTATGACAGGTCACAACCTCCACGTGATGATCGGCGGGGGTTGATTGGAGTTGTACCGGTACCTTGGGAAAGAGAAGACAATAGGCGTGGTTATGACCTAGATATTGGAAGAAATGAACGAGGCGGAAGGATACAGGATGGAGAGAGAAGACGCTTTGGAGATTTACGAGACTCGGGAAGAGATTTTGAGGAAATCAGATCTAGAAGAGAGAGGGATGTGAAAGAAGGTATCAGGAGGCATGAGGATGACTCAAGCCACAAAGCCTTTGAAGAAGATGATTGGAGAAGATATCCTGATGTTGATAGGAAAAGAATAGATGATGATGATGAAAAACATAGACATTTTGATGGAAGAAGAGGCCCTGGAGATGGTAGGAGTGATCCCGAAGATACACACAGACTTTCTGAAGCAGATCGTTATGATGACTACAAGAGATTCAATGCTGCAAGGAAAGAAGGAGATGGAAGAAGAGATGAGGTTGCCAGAAAAGAGAATGACTCAAGGAGGGCCACTGAGGGTTCCCGAAAGGACATAGATGACAGCAGGCATGGACGTCATGATACAAAGAGGGTTGATGAACGTGACCGTGATGGGAAGTTTAAGGCAGGGTCTCATCACCGGGAAGTGACACCACAAGATGAGGCATTTATAGGCAAATCACATGATTCTCCAGGCAAAACTTACAAAAAATCCCCCGTAAGAGATAGAAGAGAAAGGGATATAGAAAGACGAGATAGAGATATTGATAGAAGGGAAAGAGATGGAGATAGAAAAGATAACTTTAAAAGAGAGAGAGAGACTGGAGACAGAAGAGATCGAGACTATGATCGAAGATCTCGAGATTTAGACAGGAGAGAAAGAGATGGCGATAGAAGAGATAAGGACTTGGATAGAAAAGAAAGAGATCCTGAACGAAGAGAGAGAGATTCACAAAAGGGTGAAAAAGATCATGAAAGAAAGGACAGAGTAGATGAAAGTAGAAGAGAAAGAGAGACCAGAAGAGACAGGGATGGAGACAGATCTGTTCGCACCTCACGCTGGGACAGAAGTGATTCAAGATTGGAGAGGGACAAGGAAATGGATAAAGGAAGAAGTGAGAGGCACAAAGGAAGGTCACAAGAGAAGGATGAGAGGAGTAGAAGTTATCTCAATGAAGAAAAAGATGAAAAGAGGAAGAATAAACAAAAGGATGAGAAGTTAGACACTCAAAATAATAAGGAAAAAGAAAATGTTAATAAAGATGCTGAGAGTATTAACAAATTAGAGAAGAAGAAGCACGATAAAAAGAAAAAGAAAAAAGAAAAGCGCCGGGCTTCTCAGGCATCAACTGAGGCATCTCAGGCTGAAATATCTGGGGATGAAGGAGAAGATAAAAAGAAAAAGAGGAAAAGGGATAAAAGAAAGAAGGTGAAGGGCCAAGTAAGTGAGGGTGGTAAAGATGTGGATGTTGAAAATGAAACTTTAGAAGTAACTAAGAAATCTGACGTAGAGGCTGAACCCCCATCAACAGAAGTACCTGATGATAATACAACACCCAATAGGGAGAAAGATTGGGACATCACAAATCAATATGAAGGAGCTCTTGACACGGAGACAACAGCCAAAGAAGTGTCTTCACCATTGCCACTTCCCCAGTTGTCAAAGTGGGAGAGGGATGAGGAGGTGTCTGTAACACCAAAGGGATTAACCGAAAAGAAAGCACCAGAAGAAGAAAGAAAGGTCACTGTTGATATAATTAAACGTGCAGAACATGCAATATTTTCTGGGAGAGGGTTAGCTCCTCGAAAAGTCTTTCTGGACACCCAAAAACAGAAGGAAATTGATGAAAGAAGTCCAACTCCAGACTGGGATCGCACAGAGTGGCGAGAGGCAAAAAGACGTGGCCCGTCAATTCAGATAACCATATCCTCAAAGACTGAATCCCAGATAGGGCGTCCAAGAGGAGGAAGGTCTGCACCATCAAGCCCAGAAAGGTTAGATGATCGGAGATTTGCATCAAAATCAAAACGTCTTCCAGAGAATGAGGTAAAATCTGAGAGACACTCAAGACTCGGTAAGAGGTCCCCTAGTCCCAGTGATGCACATAGTACTATTAAGAGTAGAAGAAAGAGTGAAAAGGATGAGAAATCTCATGATAATGAAGAGAAAAATTTAATTCCTAGTCAGAACAATGCTCCAAGTAGACAGCAAAAGAATATATCTCCTGTACCTGAGGACCACTCAAACACATGTGATGAACCCAAGGAACTAAGTCAAGATTTAAAAGTGTTAGAAAAGTCCACTGAAGATCAAAGTGACATTAGTGATCAGAAGGGCTTGAAGAAAGCATTATCCACTGATGAAGACCCAGAGGCAAAGACAGTAAGAGAAGGTGGGAGTCCTTCAGTTGAAGAACAAGCCGATCAAGAGAGTTTCCCTGACACACAAACTTTAACTTCAGCCACTGAATTTATTGATGAATCTACTAGTTCTGTTGCAAAAGTAGAATCATATGTAGAGGAAGACGGTGGAACCCCGAGTGTAGAGGAAAGTAACATGAAATCCATTAATGAAGAAAAGTTGGACAGTATTGTAATGGCTCCACCACCAGCTGTCAAAGACCCAGAGGAACTAGAGGAGGGGGAGATCCAAACAGATACATCAAGTGAAGGTGTTCATGCTGGAGAACCTGTAACTGAGGTTCCTCCACCTACTGAAGTAGTTGAAGCTGTTATAGAAGAAGCTGATCCACCAAGGCAAGAGGAAAAGGCACACAGATATTCTCCAATTCGTGTCCCAACTCCCATGTTGGGAATCCAAGTGAAGGAAGAGGTGAAGGTCAAAGAGAAGAGTAAGAAGAGGAAAAAGAGGAAGAGATCATCTAGCACCAGTTCCAGTAACAGTAGTAGTTCCTCAAGCAGTAGTAGTAGTGAAGATGAAGAGATCATCAAGAAGAAGAAGAGAAAAAAGAAGAAGAAGAAGGCAGCTGATACTGATTCTAGTGATGCAGAATCTAAAAGTAAGCACAAGAAGAAAAAGAAAGATAAGAAGAAAAAGAAGAAAAAAGACAAGAAGAAGAAGAGTGAAAAGTGAATGAATGCATAATTATTGTTTTAAGTAAAACCAAAGATAACCTACAAACCATTTTTTTTTTATTATTATTATTTTGGGGGGAACTAAAGAACAGTTTCCCAAGCAGTTTAAGAGGAGTTTTAAAAGTTTGTAAACATAAGTAATAATAAACAGTACTCTTTATTTTCATCTCAAATTTGTGTTGTGGATATTTTGTTTTAAATACTCTACATGTATTATATACATGTAACTAAATAACTAGTGTTGTAATTATTTTGTAAAGTAATATCTGTGTTGGTATTGTGGTATTTTGTAAATTAGCCTAGTGTAAATAAAAGGATTACTATCTACATATAATTTTACTATCCTTTTGTTTGTTTATATCTAATCAAATTACAAAATCTAAACTAACATTGTATACTGTATCAATGACTTTACAAAAAGAAAATGTTGAATAGTTCACAGTAATTTGTGTCAATCATATTGTATACAGTTGCCCACAGGTATAGTGGTCCACCCCTTGGTGGCCTTTCCGAACATGTGGCAATGTCGGAATCATAATCGAACCTTCTTTACAGATATTACATCTATCATATTGCTTTGCAAAAATCTTCGAGAACAAGTATTACCGAAAATATATATTGTTGGCCGCGTGTTCAGAAATGCCACCGAGGGGTGGAACACTATATCTGTGGTTCTTTGTGAATGTCAGAAGTTCATGAATCATGAAAACTTGAAGCTGTAGTGGTATGAAGGAGTAGCCCAAGAAGCAGCAATACAAAAATATGCCTGACTAATAGAGCCTTGGGGTTGTAAACAAAAAGTTGCTAGTACAATATTATGAAGAAATGTTTGTTGGATTTTATTCTAAAACAGAATTGACTGAAAGTGAACTGTGTTTCAGTTTATTACATGATGAATAATGATTAGTTTTTAATGGCCTTTTTAATAGTATTATTGTCCTTAGTTACCTCTAGGCTGCAGGGGAAATAGAAATATAGTGGTACTTTGTCTGTGAGTGATTGTCTGGGCAGCTTTTGAATCTAATAGATATATTGAAATGATTTTCAATGATGCTTGTTATATAGACATAATGAGATACATATCTTCAATAATCAGTAATTTTTCTCTAAATTCTAAAGGGTTATGGTCAATTTTTGACAATGGTAACAATGGACTATTTTGGGGGCTTGATGCACCTGTTCTATCACTTGTACAGTACAGTACTGTATTGTAGTTGAAAATGCAATAAGGTTGATTAATAGAACAGACTCAATGGAAGAAATAGTGAGTATGATTTGATAGCAATGGAAATTAAAGATAGAGCTAGAAATACTGTATCTTCATAAAAATAAGGTACTCGACTTTACTGCACACAGAGAACAGGGCTGCATTTAGTTGCATGCTACATATGCTACAGAAAATCATGGCGCATTATGGTGGGAATTAAATGGTTTGCGACATCATCGTGCACTATATAAACAAATTGGGTGGTTGTTATGGTTATGTTTATCACGACGTGGGTCTTAGTGGTGTTGTAGGGTACGAGTTGTTGGGTTCACACTCAGGATGGGATGAAGAAAGGAAACTCACATTGTGCTCTCTGTATACATATTGTATTGGATTTACAGTGCAGCTTGGTGCTGGGAAGTGGCAGCGTGGTTACAAGCGTGATGTAGAGAGAGCTGGTTGGTGAGGGTGCTCAGAAGAGGACCAGCTTGTGGGTCACCGGCGGGAGCGAGGACCGCCAGGCAGGAGGAGGAGGAGGTGTTGCTTGCTGGTTGGTGTAGGTAGAAAGAGAGGGATAGGTCACCACGAGGTCAGGTCTTATATAGCGGAGGTAGGCGTGGCTTAATAGTTGACCTCCGTGATGTATGGCGGCGCTGGTTGACCTAGACCACGAGGCATACACTGAGGAATTCGCGGGGTCGGCTACTCAGCGACAAGCGTTTGTAGGGGAGGAATCCACTACAATACTCCCCCTTCCCTCCAGGCGGTGTAGAAGACTTGTTGTCTGCAGGGTTGCATGGCACATGTGAGGCAGAACGGGCGGTGCATGCCACATGTGGGACATAACGGCGAGGGCGTGGATGAGCCGGCCGCTTGGGGGGGCAACTCTGTCTAGATACACTCGATCTGTGGGAGAAAAGGGGGGGGGAGGAGGGTTGTGGAGGCGATGAGTGTTGTGCTTCCCTTGCGACAGGCAGAGATTCCTCAGATGCGCCTGCTGGGGTGTGTGGGCCTGGGTCAGGAGCAGGGGCTGCGTTAGGAAGAGTGTCCATGACAGCAGCAGGGTCCACGACAGCAGCAAGGTGCAGGACAGTAGCAGGGGGTACCTGAGGGAGAAAAAAAGGGTGTGTGGGTCCGCGTCAGGAGCAGGGGCCACCAGGCAGGAGTGGAGGAGGGTCCGCATCAGGAGGAGGGTCCAGGACAGTGGCAGGGGGTACTGCTGGGCCGGGGGCGGCGTCTGAGGCAGGACGGGTGTGCTGGGGTCGGTAGGACGTGGTGCTTGGGGCAGGAAGAGGAGTGGCTGTCTGCTTAGAGTAGCAGAGCTGCTCTAGGGTGTCTAACCTGCGGTGTAGAGACAGTAGCTGCAGAGCCGATGAGAGCTGCCTCTGTGTGGATAAGCCAGTCTTCCGTGTTGCTTGAAGACTGGGAGAGTGATCAGTTTCTCCTCCATCCTGTGTGAGTGCGAATCTCCGGGGGTCACCATTTGTGGGGTACGTTATGTTTGGTTCATGCTCAGGATGGGATGGAGAAAGGAAACTCACAATGTGCTCTCTGTATACATATTGTATTGGATGTACAATGCAGCTTGGTGCTGGGAAGGCAGCATGGTTACAAGCGTTGAGTAGAGACAGCTGGTTGGTGAGGGTGCTCAGAGGAGGACCAGCTTGTGGGTCGCCATGCTCGCCGGCGGGAGCGAGGGCCGCCAGGCAGGAGGAGGAGGAAGAGGATGTGTTGCTTGCTGGTTGGTGTAGGTAGAAGAAGAGAGGTTACCACGAGGTCAGGTCTTATATAGTGGAGGTAGGCGTGGCTTAATAGTTGGCCTCCGTCATGTAAGGCGGCGCTGGTTGACCTAGACCACGAGGCATTCACTGGGGAATTCGCGGGGTCGGCTACTCAGCGACAAGCGTTTGTAGGGGAGGAATCGACTACAGTGTCCTGCGGGAATAATGGTAACCATGCACCATTGACTTGGTTCTTTGCAGCACAAGCTATCCTCAACCACAGACACCTCAGCGTAGTGTTCTACCATTTGCCATCTTTCATGTTCATAAACATTTTGGCACTGCAGTACTTACTACCCACCTCAGTGAGCCGTAGTGTTCGTCTCACTACACAAACTCTGAATCGCTGATTACGTTACAAGTTGTGCAGGTAAAGTCACAGACAAAAGCTAGCTTCCCATGGTGAAACAGGATCATGGGAATAAGTCTCCAGACTTAGTTATCCTCACTGTTGTCTGGTGCGAGTGTGCTGTTTATCTCATTTGGGGCCAATGCTGCTTCATTTTGGGAGGAAGCAAACTTTCGAACCTAACTGTACAGTAACATTATCCTCCGAAGTTTTAAGAGAATAGTGAAAGATAAACAAGTAAGAAATATAAAACTTCACCAGTAACAAGCTGATTAATGAGACGCATGACATGCACACTGGCAGTTGTGTAAGAAGATAAGCACAGTGAATTCAGTCATGACCGCAAGACTCCTTAATGGTACAATAACCATATTTAATGGTCACAAGTCTTTTAAATTCTATTTGTCAATTAATTATTTAGGTTATACTGTATTTATAGTACTCATATCCTCGTTTTGTATGAGGTGAACCAAGGGGCAATGCAACTTTAAAGACGGAAAGGGCTCATTAGAGAAAGTTGCGAGTTAAGTGTAGACAGTGACTAGAAGGGGTCAGAAAAACAGTTTGAAATTTATTTAGAGGTGGTCCCTGTCTATAAACAACTTGGTTAGGATATATGAAGATGCAACATATACTATTTTATACCATAAAAAAATAGCATGCATGCGTCTATGCACAGGGCAGGACCGCATTTCGACCTGTGGGAGCCATGGTGCAATTTAAATGTGGGGGCTCCTGTGGGGTCACCATTTGTGGGGTACGAGTTGTTGGGGTTCACACTCAGGATGGGATGGAGAAAGGAAACTCACAATGTGCTCTCTGTAGGCTATACATGTTGTATTGGATGTACAATGCAGCTTAGTGCTGGGAAGTGGCAGCGTGGTTACAAGCGTGATGCAGAGAGAGGTGGTTGGGGAGGGTGCTCGGAGGAGGGCAGCTTGTGGGTCGCCATGCTCGCCGGCGGGAGAGAGGGCCGCCAGGCAGCGGAGGAGGTGGTGTAGCTTGCTGCGACTGTAGCTAGAAGAAGAGAGAGGTCACCACGAGGTCAGGTCTTAAATAGCGGAGGTAGGCGTGGCTTAGTAGTTGACCTCCGTCATGTATGGCGGCGCTGATTGACCTAGACCACGAGGCATACACTGGGGAATTCGCGGGGTCGGCTACTCAGCGACAAACAGCGTTTGTAGGGGAGAAATCCACTAAACTCCATAGGTATTCAAATATTTGGAAATACTGTCTGGTACGACAAATAACTACGTATACTTTTATTATACATACAAATTGTAAGCACAATTTATAGAAAGTACATCAGCTCGAATCCCTTATGTTGCTAAAAGTATAATAATAGTAATAATAATAATAATAATGATAATAATAATAATAATAATAATAATAATAATAATAATAATAATAATAATAATAATAATAATAATAATAATAATTTCAGTGAAATCTAGGATGTATAAAATCGCACTCAACGTACTCAGGACTGAGCAAACAATCAAATTTACCTATTTACCTGTACATGAAAAACCTTCAAACTTTTATAATTTGCCCCATTTTGTATAAACAAAAGAGGTAAATCTTCTGCTTTCTGATTGGCTTGTATCAATTTCCGTAATCAAGTCAAGATCTATACTCTAAAATGATATTTATATAAAATAAATATCGAACCACGTAAAATACCGTAATTTAATTCTACAAGTATTTAATATGAATTGTTAATAAATTGCTTAGGTGTACATTTAGTCATCAGCGAGCACCCGGCCTCCACCCCAAAAATATCAAGATGTTTTGTTCGTGGAACTTTTCCAGCATTATATATTCTCAGGAAAATTGTTGAAGTGATAGTTGGTTCGCACTGTACACCTGTACCAAGCACCAACTGTTAATGGTATGTATCTTGTAATAGATTTAAGTGATGTGTAATTGAATTAAAACGTGTAGGTGTAATTTAAGTTTAGCTTTGTGCGCACATTAACTGCATTTCAAGGTATTGTACTAAATACAGAAATTTGTCGATTAATGTATCGATGCTCTTCAAATACTCACAGTATCCATCATCATAATACACTTATCTTGTATAAACTGTAAGTCGAAAAATGGTACTTAACTACTGTAGTTATAGATCACTGTTTGTTTTAATATCCCACAGGAAAATTAAAACTACCATGAAAACAAATAACTTATGGAAGGTAAACGTGTTTTTATGAAAAGCTCATTTTGTGACCTCTATAATATGGCATTGTATTATATTATTTCAATATCACCAAATTTACCATTTTTTTATTATAGCTAAAAGAGAAGGTCGTCACATTATTTAGTATCATATTTTAGTGGGATCTTTATTAATATCTTTTGTTTTATATGAAGAAATTAACTCCGTCACCAAAATGCACACTCAAAAATAGAATATATGGAAAAAAATTTACAATTTGCCCATAATGTCCCACAATCTTTGGTAGTATTACAGTAAACAGCAACCACAGAATTCCTGAAATTCACTGGGGATCTGGGGGGCAGAGCCCCCGGCTCAGGGGTTAGGTAAGGATTAGTTTGTTTGTATTGTATAAGTTAGCAAGCACAGAGTACCGGGAATTCAGAACATGGTTGCTGTAATCTGCAATTTTACCCAATATTTGGGCATTTTTCATTAACCACCCATCACCTTTTTTCATATGAAAAATATATTTTTTCCGCTAGTTTTCTTGCAGTTTTAGATGATTCTGACATTTATCTTTGCGGCAAATCATTTATTTTTTTATTTTTTTATTTTTTTTAGTTAGTTTGGTTAGGTTAGATTTTCTTGATTTTAGATGATTCTGACATTTATAATCATCTAAAACAGCAAGAAAACCTAACCTAACCTAACTGGAAAAATCAAGAACAAGTATATAATTTTAGGGCACAAATATCCGCCACGTGCAGCCACTGTCTGAGTAGAGAAGAGGCTATTGAGCTGGAGTCACAGGCGTTAGGCTCTTCCAGAAGATCATCTGTGAGTATCTGTGAGTGAGTTCTTGATATATCGGTAAATATTTGTCCATTGGCTGTACCTCAGGTTTTGGTACGAGAATAGGGTTTTTTCTTTTTACGTGTTTGGGTGTTTTACTCAAATCTGACCTTCATTTCATTTGCTAATTAGCATTTTTTTTATTTTTTTATTTTATTTTAACAAATGCTAACTTGTACAAAACTGGAGGTCAAATTTGCATAAAACACACCAAAAATACACTAAAAGAACCTATTCTCATACCCAAAGAACCAATGTACTTAACCTAACCTAACCTACAAGGAGGAGGAGGCAAGGAGGAGACAACTTACTAAGTGAGGAGTAAAACCTCGGTTAAACACGGCGGGAACCTGCGGACAGCCAATGGACGAATATTAACCGATATATCTCATCATTCCGAGTACCTTTCATTCTATACATTTCTGTTGTAAATGAATAATGGTGAACATAATAGAACCTGACCTAACCAACCAAAGAAACCTACTTAACTTAACCTAACTTCCTAGCCGGGAGCCCTGCCCACCTCACTCCTGCCATATTAGACAGGAATTACTTATTATGTTATCTGGTACCTATGAAAGCAACTTTATTGAAGCGTCATGGAATAATTTAAAAAATTTTGTGGACGTGAGAGTATGCTCGGACCGAACAGGTCGGTTGTAAACAGAGAACACGTGGTGACTCAGCAGATTATGGGCAACTTGTAAAAAAATACCAAATATAGATGTACAGTGGAGTTTTCTGTTATAATATTTTTATATCTTAATAGAAAAAATGTCATGCTATATTTGAGTGATTCGTGATGCATGGAATGAATCGCTAGCATTGACAAATACCACCCAAATATAGGTGTGAAATATGTTTTCTGCATTTATCTTGAACTTTTTGGGTAAGACTACATAACATTTTATTATTATATAATTTAGTGTTTTTGTTTGTACTATATATGAGAATTATATGTTTGTACGGTACGTTATACCAAAAGTTGCATAAAAGGCATATTTCTTACATTACCTTTTATCTTCTATTTGCAGAGGTTTGCATTGACTGTAGTGATAGACTGACGGACGTGTTTTAGCAGCATGCACCCTGATCTTTCTCCACATTTACACACAGATGAATGCAATGCTCTTATTTCTAAGCTTCAGAACTGTCACAAAGAGGTAATTGTGCTCACTGTGTATGTTAGTGATTAGTGTGAAATATGATGGAGCACACATGACCAGATGCATTACGGTAATAAGGATTGTGACATGTGCTTGTATATATATATATATATATATATATATATATATATATATATATATATATATATATATATATATATATATATATATATATATATATATATATATATATATATATATATATATATATATATATATATATATATATATATATATATATATATATATATATATATATATATATATATATATATATATATATATATATATATATATATATATATATATATATATATATATATATATATATATATATATATATATATATATATATATATATATATATATATATATATATATATATATATATATATATATATATATATATATATTATGGCAGACATATTCCTCTTTTTCATTTTTCAGAACAAGCTTCTAAAATTCGTAGGGATTTGCAATGAGATAGACACAGCCGTTTGGAAATGTCTGAAGGCAGAGGTAAGATGCACTTTATAATGCAGCAACTTCTTAATGCTATGGATATGATTGACTGTAATCTTAATTTCCCAGGAAATCATATTTCTAATATACAGTGTACATGTAAATTAATGCTGTACAGTATTTATCTGGTATTATTGTAATTTTAAATAATCTGTATGGTTGTTCTGGTCAGTCATCCATAAACCTCTCATGATTTTTATTTTCAATATCTACTGGCATCATGGACCTCTTTTGATGTTTTAGAATATTTTATTATTAAAAAGGTACAGTACTTAAATAACTGATGCAGTGAATCAAGGAACCCTTTCCATGTGCTTAACCCTATCATGGTCTTTTGACTCAAATTGCATCACTAAGCACTCCCGTGCCGGTACAACCCCTGCCACTCATGGACTTACGACTCAATCTTCAGGCAACTGTTTCATCATTGTTAGAAACTATATATACCTACATATATATACATAGATCAGATTCATGCAGGACAGAGGTTCGTACACAAAGAAATGCATCATATTCATTAACAGTATATATAGGTCAGAGTCATGTGGGTGATGTCACTGTTCATTGCCATGCAGGACAGAGGTTTGTACACAAAGAAATGCATCATATTCATTAGCAGTATATATAGGTCAGAGTCATGTGGGTGATGTCACTGTTCACTGCCATGCAAGACAGTGGTTCTTATACATTGGACGTCATATTCTAATTGACGACTAATCAGTGTGGGCTAGCAAATTTGGGATAAACAGCAAGAATGTCCCCAAGCATCCCTGATTTAATATAGTAATTACAAAGTTCATGATACAATAAGCCAGGTGGCCTGAAGTCTTTGACAGTGTCACATTCAATAATATAGTGTTCAAGTGTATTGGGTTGTTGTAAACTGTTAATAATTTTAAATTAACTAATGATACTGAATTTTTTCATTGTCAGCGTCTGCAGAGGCGTGCCAACAATCGAAAAGAAAGTGAAGAACGTCTGAAAAAAATACATGCCAAACTTGGTGAAGGTTACAACTGGCAGAAAATGTGATGTACGGGACAGTAGTGAACACTTAAGACACTGTTGTTGATTGACAGTACGTATATAATTCTTTGGAACAAAATTAATAGGTGGAGCTAAAAAAAATCTTTCAGAGCAAATTAAGAGTGTTTTTTATTTCTTCAGGAATAAAAGATAAAAACTCAGTTCATCACAATGAGTGTTGTAGAAGGCCCTATAGAGGAAACAGTGGCATTGGATCTTAAATATCCCAGTGTGAGTGAGAGATACTTTACTAAATATTACTTCATACCTAAGGAGAAAAAGAAAGTAGAAAATGCTAGTGGAAATAATGTTTTAGCTTGTGAAGTTGACCAAGATACAGCTTCTGAGCAAAGTGGGAATGAATCTACTGCATTAAAAGAAAACAACAGAAGATCTTATCCCCAGAATAATGAAAATAGCTCAGCAAGAGAGGAAAGAGTTTCATCACAGCCAGACAATAGTGGACATACATGTGTTATGGTACATACTAATAAGCTGTGCCTTATAACCCTCTCTCATCGACACCCTGTGTTAGCTGAAAAGAAGGAAATAGCTCAGGTATGACTTATTTAAAATATGCATCTGATAATTTAGAATGTGGTAGACGTGAAAGGATACCTAACTTAAGTTGGGGAAAGTGAAGCCAGACAGTTTCAGTGCCATCCTTCCTGTGTCTTTGTTTATCACAAAAATGGAGTCTAAAGTGTAGTGTATCCATGTTGCCCTAAATAATAAAAGCATTGCAACAAATTTTTAAAACATTACATACTATATTTTTAAGTTTTCATTTAAGGGGATAAAGTTTGACATGATGCTGTGAGTGTGTTTGTGGGTGAAAAAGACATTTACAATGTGTCTATGGACCTAAAAATCAGTGTAAAGCCATTTTTCAAACACCTTAACTTAAGCATGAGCATGTACAGTACAAGAATTATTGTGTTAGGAAGATAATTCTGTATCTCGCCAACACACGTAAATTATTTAATCCATAGACAATATGAACTTCACACACATAGGTACCAAGCTTGTTTTTACAGATTAAATTTAAAACAACACAGTCTGATATTTTTGAGGTTCTTCCTTTGTATTCCCTTCTCATCTACCACATGTGATGTTTCCAGATTTTCCTTTTGCATTAATAGTCCCCCAATTTCAGCTTTAGCACATTTTGTACTCTTGTACTTTTGTCAAATTTTTGCTTCTCCCAGCTTTTTTCATCTCTTGTGCCCCAGCCACTTTCAGCTTGTAAACCTGTCTCATTCTCAAATTAATTTTTGTAAACAACAGGTAGTGATTTCATCAATCCTCATTTTACACTTGAATTCTTCAAGTGCTTTCCAATCCTCTAGTATTACATAATCAGTCAGGGACTTATGCTTGTATCTAATTTCATCATTTCTTTGCCAGATACTGTACTGTATATGTATTATTTTACCCAAGTTCAAAAGTTTAAAATTTTGATACTGAAACGTTGAAGCTAATACCAGTACCTTGTGCATGGTTTCAGTCTGATAATAAATAAATATTATACATTTGCAGATCAGCTATGATGTAGGCAAGTTCAACCGATTGGATAATCAGGTATCTGGAAAGGGAAAGAGAGGTGCTCAGCTTATGGGGCTTCAGTCACCAGTCTGCATCATTTCATGTGTTGATGGCACAAAGTACACTGTATTGGCTGGTGTTCAGGGGAAACTAGTCGAGGTTAGTTATAGTGTAACTTAAAGCTAAACTTAACATATTTGTTTTTCCTCACAGTTGGTCTAATTATGATGGATGGGTGTTGATTTTACACATTTTTCAGTGGAAGGTAAGAGGAGTGAGGTGCCTAAATTTAAGGAGTGTTTAGGTCATGGGCATGTTTTAGTACACATTTTTCATGTAAGAAACAATATAGAATATTCCATATAATGGTGTACACTACCACCAGTAAATAATGAAGAACTTAGAATTGGAAGGAGAGTCAGAGCATTGCAGCTCTAGTTAAAAACTAGTTCTTCAAAATATATTAATGATATAATCTGATATTTCTTTTAAATTGTAGCTTACTAAGTGTGTCATGCAACAGTTTTGTTATGCAAATTTTTACTAGTAATTTATTTATTTATTACTCAGGTAAATGAACGCCTCTTATCATATCCCCAACTTGTGAGTGACCATCCAGATGCTGAAGGGTACTTGGCTGTTGTATTACCCCCATTACGGAATGGGGACTTCATGCGTAGTAAACTTTTCACTGAGGAACAGTACAAAGAACTGGATCACTATGGCATATCTGGATGTTGATATCAAGCATTTAGTTATCAGAATTGAAAACTTAAATTTTAAACTACGTACTGTATTTAGATTATTAGACATCTTTGATTACGTTATGAAGAGGTTACTTCAAAAGTACAACATATGCCATTTTACCTGTTGACAAAAGAATCCAATATATAAAATGTTTTCAGCCATACACCATTGTAAGTATCCACAGAATAGTGAATTCATTTCATATTGCAGTATATAAGCTTATAAACTGACATCCTTTGTGGTGAGAGACAAATGATGAATTAACCCATGCACTACAGTCTTGAGTTTTGGAACTGACCTCTATACTAATGTTAAATTAAAATTATATATTAAATTAAAATTATATGTTAAATTGAAATTATATGTTGCTGTATATGATTGTTGTTTCAATGAATATTAGACACTTGGAGACAATTAAAATGTGGTGGTTAACCTTTAGTTTATCTTCATATAGATCCTTAAGTACAGGTAGTTATGTAATTGTATAGTCCTTGTTATAAATGTTTAGATAATGTAGAAAAGTATTAGACAATTTTTTTTATTTTTACCATGGCTGGGTAAATATCATACTACATTACAGTACAGTATAGTAACTATCATAGGTTACTGTAAATTTATTTAATTACCCTTGGCCCAAGAGTCTCGTGACATTTTCTTTGACCAAAAAATTTCTATCATGTCGCCATTGGTAATTCTATCCAATCAGGAGCAAAATTGTACCAAGGGTTTAAATTAGACAAATTTAGATTTAGGCCTGAGGTAGGTAAACACTGGTTTGGAAATATAGTAGTGGATGAGTGGAACAAGTTATCAAGCATCATCATTAACTCGAACACAATGGGAAGCTTCCAATGTAGGTTGGACGGATATATGAGCAATAGGGGATGGGTGTAAATGGGGTTGCCTAGTATGGCCCAATAGGGCTACTGCAGTTTCCTCTATTCTTAAGGTCTTATATATACAGCACCTACATATCACATCTTCATATAATCATAACTATGCAGTATACAGTCAACCCTCACTTTACGCGGTTAATTCAACCCACGGCGGCCCGCGTAAAGTGAACAACATAACATATGGGATTAATTGAAATAGAGACCGGGCCGACCCCCAAACTCCACTTTTTGACGACACACAACTATGTTGTAGTAAAAATATTATCTTAACTTTATGATGGTATGCACACACAATTAATAAAGAAGAGGTTAGGTTAGGAAAAATAAAGGTTAAGTTAGGAAAAATAAAGGTTGGGGTTAACACTTACGTTAGTAGAAGAGATGGGTCGGCGTACGGGAATGGAGGCTGGTTCCGAGGCAGAGGGCAGGCACTGGCCCTCAGGTGAGTCACCATCACTGTCATCCACACTTGTCAGGGCCTCCCTGACAAATCCCTCAAAGTCATCATCACTGTCTCTACCTCTGTCACTATCACTGGCTTGGGCTGGCTGTGGTGGGTTGCGGGCAAAGAACTCTGTTATGCTTTGCTGACGGCTGGTGTTTATGTTGTCGTGATAAACCTTGATGAAGGGCTCCATAGTCTGCAACAGCTGGGTAGTGAAGATTTCATACCTGTTTGCGTCAGGGTCGTCGGAAAGGAGGAGCTTGACTTTCTCGATACACTCGATGGCACCCCTAACATTACTATGGGATAAGCGGTGTTCTTGGGATGACGCACCACCTGCCTCTTCACTGACGTCATCATCATCTACCATCTCATCGGTAGTCACATCAGGATCCCTTATCACCTCCAGGATGTTGTCGTTGGTGGCCTCGGAGAAGCCTGCAGCTGTAACACTCTGCGCAGCTTCTCTGGCAAGGTCCACTGCTACTGCAACAGTCTGGATCTCACCAGTCACAGATTGACTCTGCCTAACGGCCGGAATGCCTTGCAACACATGTCTCCATGCATGACGAACAGTTGCTACAGACAGCTGATCCCATGCCTCCACCAAGAAGTCCACAGCTTTCTTGATGTTGAATATTCTCCAGAATTGTTTTAAAAGTACTTGTTGCTATGCCAACTGTTGATCCTCGTCGTCTTCGCTCTTGCTATCGGTGGTGGTGTCACTCAGGTTACGCAACTCTTCCCTGGTGTTGGTGTAGTCGTTCAGGAGCTTGAATTTTTTAGTAGAGAATGCAGCTTTTACATTACAGATCAACTCTTGGTCCATGGGCTGTAATATAGACGTAATGTTGGGAGGAAGGAAGACCACTTTTACGTTGGGGTGACGATCTAACAGTAGGGGCGAGTGTCCTGGTGCGTTGTCCAGCAGCAACAAAATCTTGAATGGCACATTCTGTTGCTCACAGAATTTCTTCACATCGGGAACGAAACAGTCATCAAACCAGGAGAGGGACAGTGTAGAGAACATCCACGCCTTACGTGCGGTCAGCCAGTGGACATTTAGCTTGGTCATGTCCATGCTCTTGTAGGCGTGCGGCTTGCGTGCTGTGTGGATCACCGATAACTTGAGCTTACAGGTACCGGAGGCATTGGTGGTAAACAGGACGGTGATGCGCTCCTTCTGCAACTTCCGGCCCCGAATCTTGCTGGCATTCTTCACAACGAAGGTCTTGGAAGGTAGCTTTTTCCAAAAAAGACCAGATTCGTCCATGTTAAACACCTGGTCGTCGGTGTACTGTCCTTCCTCCATAATCTCACGTAAAAACGGAGGAAATTCCCTAGCCGCAACACGGTCAGCACTAGCTTCACCACCAATGTTGATATTGGTGATCTTGTTCCTCTTCTTAAACCTCTGTAACCACCCAGAGGAAGCATTAAAGGGTTTGGGCTCTGTAATTCCCATCTTTCGTGACACTGCAGCATACAGTTCAGGTGTGTACTCCTTAACAGAGCGCGTGTCCACCGCCATGTTCCGTCGCGCCTGACGCACCAAGTAGCTCACAAGTAATTTTTCCGTCTTGAGAAGCACCTGGTTGTGGAAATACTTGATCATAGAAGCACCTGCAGACTTTGTGATGTTCATGTGCTCCTTTATCTTGGCTGCATCCTTCTTTATCGTCCGGATCGTAGATTCGTTCACACCATGCTGGCATGCCAAATCAACCTGTCTTGTTCCTTTCTCCAACTCTTGGATGATCTTGTACTTCACCTCATAGCTTAAGGAACGTCGTGTCTTCTTTGGCTTAGGGCGGCTGGGTCCAGGTAAGGAAAGGTTTCTCTCTGGGGGCGGTGGTCCGGCGGAAGCCATTTTACAGAACAATGGATGCACGATTACATGGTGTGGCCTGGAGGGATGAAACTGCCGCGGCTAGGTCAAGCGTCGTCTTTCCTCCCTCCCCCGGGTGGACACGTCATATTACTTTAAACCAATTACAGCTAGCAGCGGAGGGAGGTAGGGATGCATGGCCAATCACAGTCCGATACATCATATGACGTCACTGATAACGCAACAGAGACATGCACTGCGCAACCTTACCGCGCGGCTTGCCCAGGCGGAGGCGGGAGCAGGTGGGAGAGGCAAATCTAAAAATAGCGTCGAGCCAGACACACTCCGCGTAAAGGGGTACATGCACCGCGGAATGTGAGCATTCCGGTTTCGGCAGGGTACCGCGTAAACGTGGAAACGCGGAATGTGGGACCGCGTAAAGTGAGGGTTGACTGTATAATATGTCTCCACAACCTTATACAGTACTATAGTATTTCACAACCACATATTTTATGAAAAACAAAAAATCCAGGTATAGTACTTCATAACTGGAGGAGCATCTTGTATGAGTAGTTATGCCATATTATAAGGGCCCAAAAACCACTATGAGAGTAAATGAGGAATTTAAGGTGAAAGTAGGGGTCCATCAGTGGTCTGTCTTAAGCCCTCCTTTGTTTAGTATGGTGCTGCAGGCAATATCACAAGACTTAAGGAGTGGCCTGCCCTGGGAGTTGATAGTAAATAGTACTGAAGAAGCAGTGGAGAAATTTAAGAAATGGAAGGATTGAAAAGTCAAAAGGGCCTATGAGATAATTTGGCAAAGAAAATTACGACAGTATATTAATTAGTGGTGTGGGTGAGGGATCTGTGGTGGAAAATGACTGTGCTGGGTATAAGAAAGGTGTTGGCAGCAACCCAATACAGTAAAGTACAATGAGGTGGAAGGTACCCACAAAAGGTACAGTGGGGTAGATTGCAGGATGTTGCTGACTTTTAAGTGTTATGTATATGCAGGTAACCATGTGCTCACAGCAAGTCTGAAGAAACCAAACATTGGGTAGGTCAGTGAGTTCTGTTACCTGAATGACAAGATCAGTTCTGGTGGGGATGCTGAAGCCTGCAAAAGTTAGAAGTGGCTGTAAGAAGCTTAGAAAGTTCTATCTTTATTGATGGCAAGATGACCTTCTTTCCATATGAAAAGAATGTGTACAGCTGGTGTGAGAAGTGTGATGGTGTATGGCTGTGAAATATAGATAGTTAATGAGGATGACACAAGCAGACCTGAGCAAGCTGAAATGAGAATGATGAGGTGGATGTGTAATGTGACACTGAAAGACAGGTCTTGCTCAGAGCTAAGAAAGTGGTTGGGTATTGAAAGCATTGGCAAAGTTCTGCATGTGGAGAGATTGAGTGTGATCAATTGGGGGCAAGAGGTGTATGAGCCTAATAGTGGAGGGGAAGAGAGCCAGGAGTAGGCCAAGAATGGCATTAAGAGTCTCGGAGGCTGTAAGGAATGACATGAGTTAAGAATCTGACAAGAAACTGTGCAACATGGAGAACTGCCATCAGGTAATCATGACTAACTCATGCATTTGTGGAAAATGGCCCTAAATGGTGATGACTCCATGACTTGGGTGTGCATATTGACAACGAAATGAAGTTCTTTAACCATTGTAAGAAGGTAAATCAAGTAACTAAGCTAGTAGGAGTTCACCCACCTAGACAATCCGACCCTCATAACACTTAAAAAGTGAGGTGCTTCCTCATTTGGAGTAGTGTACTGTACTGTCACACTATATGGTCCCTAGATATGATAAAACTCTCAGTTGATTGAAAATTTCCAAAGGAGAGCAACCAGACTGATGCCTGCACTACAGCACCTTAATTACCCAGAAATTAGAATGCCTACAACTGCCTAGCTTGTACTATTGTAGTGGCTCCTCTCCCCTACAACTTCCAACTGAGCTCCGGCCGCGCGCCTACCAACCAATCAGCGTACAGCCAGCTATGCCTTCGCTTCAGCTTCCCAGTCACATACACCTCGTGTCCTGCGCCACTTGGCTTACATCTCAGAGTTCTCCAGCGACATCTAACACATTAAAGGCAGCCACAACGAGATCGCTGACACCCTCTCTCGTTGTATATCCAACATTCTTCCCTCATCTCCACCCATTGATTATGGGCAGCTAGCCGCGGCTCAAGAGAACGAAGAAGACCTGGCAGCATACAAGACACCCCCTCAGGCCTCACACTCCAAGAACTC